CAATGATCTTTTTAATGAGAAAAAAAAAAAAAAAAAAATGTCAAGATAGCATCATCGACGTGAATAAAAGTGTAACCACAAGTAACACAATTAAATAGATAATAAAACCCCCCAATCCCCGCCAAATATTACGTGCTGTTATATTCGAATGATGTGGACGCTCACGTGGAAAGTATGTGGGTTCATCTCGACCATTCGATCAAGATTCAGGTATGTTTTTCAACGGCCTGGAACCCCCATTAACGGCAAAATCAAAGAACAATTTTCGCTTTCAAATTTCAACTGCAAAATCTTTACGAGGAAGAACCGTATCCCCTTGAAGACGGAACCTTGTCACAGTATTGGAAGAAAACGTAGGAAACGTACACAAACATGGTAGGACCCACTAACAAAATGGGTCCATGATAACGGCCTGGTGGGCCCATCGCACAGAATAACCGTCTCAACTAGCAACCGTCATGATTTATCAAGTTGTCGTTGATTAAATTCTTGCAGTATAGAGACCCAATAAGAAAAGATTACGAGTCAAATTAAGAGGCCAGGTTAGGTTGACCATTAAGAGATACGACTGTGCTGAGTGTTAATTGAGGTTTAGGTGTTATTTTAATAATTTCTTAAATGTAGGCAATGTGCATTTATTAAATTCGAGTGAAAGAATAAAAAATGAATTAAAATGTTTAATTGCAAGAAACATTTCACATAAATGCATAAATTTAGGATTTTTTTAATTTGATTAGATAGAGATTTAGTATTAATATGTAAAAACTAGTTCCAAGATATTTCTATTAAAAAAAGGGTATAAGTTTTAACTTTCTTGAGCTATTTATATGATAATAGTGGTTGTTTTTTAGTGGTCGTTTTTTTTAAAAAAAAAATTATTTAAAAATAATAAATATTTTTTTTATTTTGTAAAATCTATTTGTTTACATTAGTATATTAAAATAATTTAAAAACATAAAAAATTAATTTTAAATGAAAAAATAAAATTTTCATCAACTTTTATTTAAGCTGCAATATCAAACGGAGGCTGCACCATTACTATGACAACAACATGAACGTGTTCTAAATTCTTTTCGTTAAAAAATAAAATTAAAAGAAAAGATTACCTAAAATATTTTTAAAAATAAAATTTTAAAATAATTCTCAGCTTCATCAGTCTCATTCCATCTTGTAATGTGCAAAGGTACTAGAGCTATATTTAGCATTATTATAAATTTAAGATGTTTTATTAAAAAACGAAGAAAAGCAAGAAAGAAAATGGAAAGGAAAACTGCCTGCGAAAATAATCAGAAAGGTCCTTTAAAATTTACATTAATGAAAGATTGAGAAAATTAAACTGCATTAAATTAGAAAACTTGCCCTGTATGGAAATTTAATTAGCACTGCATGTGTCTCTGATAAACAACAAAGTAAATATAATTCATGTTGAATATTGCGTAATTAACAAACTTGAAAAATGAAACGAATTAATTTTTTATAATATCATCAGAAGAAGGAATTAAAGGGCATTATATTTCAAAGTTAACTCTTCTTCTTCTTTTTTGTTCATTCTCAAATTTAATTTCAAATAGCCTGCTAATGCATTGAAACAATTCAAGTGAAAACCAGCTAATTAAGCTTAATCCCAAAAAATTGGAAAAATTAAAACCCTTAAATTAAGGTATCATTTTCACAATTTACTCATACTTAATTTTAGGTGGCATTTGACTCTAATAAGTTTCAAATATTAGGCCCTTTTTCATTGAAAAAGAAATTGACCCATGCTGCGTTTTTCTATTTTAATTTTTAATTCAAAACACATAGAAATTACTACACACACGACATAATATTTAATTCTTCTTGAATAAACTGATAATTGAAATCTGTCAAGGAAATCTTTTATATATGCGTGTGTATGTATGTATATTATATTGGTCCTTCTTAAGAGCGAGCACTTTACGTATCTTACAATTTGTCTTGTACCTTGAAAAAATGGAACTCAATCTCATGATGCCACGTGCCCACTCATGCTTGTACTCATTTTGAAACCATGCAGAGCTCTTCTTCTATAAATACGAGTCCATTTTCCATTTAGACCCATCATCAAACCAACAACATTGCTATTGATTACAGTAGCAGTTCCTTGATACATCAATAATTCACTATGGCTATAATTTCCTTTCAAAATCCATTCCTTCTCCCCATTATTCTAGCTTTCTTTTTGGTGAACTCCTGCCACTGCTTCCATCCCAAGCTCTTCAATGTCTCAAAGATACAATCTAATTCTGATTGGTCGCCTGCTGGGGCTACTTGGTATGGCAGTCCCACTGGTGCTGGAAGTGATGGTAATTGAAATAGAAACTGAAACATCATGAATGAATGAATACGTGCTGCCTTTTTTCCAAGTTATAAAGAGAGTACTGTGTTAGGTTTTTCATATTTTGTGTGTGCATGTGTAGGTGGAGCTTGTGGCTATGGGAATGCTGTGGAGCAAGCACCATTCTCTTCATTTATATCAGCTGGAGGCGATTCTATATACAAATCAGGCCAGGGGTGTGGAGCTTGTTATCAGGTGAGCCATGTTTGCTAATAACTTGCTAGTTTAATTTCTATGTATACCAAATACTTTTTAAACAAGTAGATGAATGAAGATTGATTCTTTAATTGTTAGCAATAAATATTATCTTTAACTTGTGCCTTATCTAATATGCTGGTCCAATTTTAATTAATTAGGTGAAATGCACGTCGAGTTCGAATGCTGCATGCTCAGGGAACCCAGTTACTGTGGTTATCACAGATCAGTGTCCTGGAGGCCCCTGTGCCCAGGAATCCTTTCATTTTGATTTAAGTGGCACTGCTTTTGGGGCCATGGCAATATCTGGCAACGAAGATCAACTTCGTAATGCTGGAGTCTTGCAAATTGAACATCAAAGGTACTTCAATGTGTGAGAGAAACGGGGGTGGAGACAAGAGGGGGGAGGGGGGGTTTCCTACGCACATTTAGTCTATTTTTATAATTAGTATTGCAACCAAAGTCTTCTGTTTAATTTATTCAAGCAAACATCCAGTCAAACATATTTAACTTGAGTTTTTTATTATCATAATTTGCGGGCATGGACTTCTCATTATTATTACTAATCCCAGATAAATTTAAAAAGATTTTAATTAACATCTCTATTAGAATATTATCAGAATCGATCAATTTGTTTTTAGTATCAATTTTTGTCTAATAATGCATCGTTATTGGCTTGCAGGGTCCCATGCAACTGGCCTGGTAAGACGGTGACCTTCCATGTTGATTCTGGATCAAACCCTTACTACTTTGCAACTGTAGTTGAATACGAAGATGGAGATGGTGAGCTTAAATCCGTGGAATTAAAACAGGCATTGGATTCAGATTCATGGATTCCCATGCAAAAATCATGGGGTGCTGTTTGGAAGCTCGACGCAGGCTCGTTGTTACGTGCCCCGCTTTCTATTAAGCTAACATCTCTTGAGTCCGGCAAGACCATTGTAGCTAGCGGTGTAATTCCGGCAGGATGGGCACCCGGACAAACTTATAGATCACTAGTTAATTTTAATTAGTGGTTAATTGCTACATGGAAGCTCTAGTTCCATATGGAGCAGATCATCTGCATGTGCGTATGTATGTATGTATGTATGTTCCAAGGAACATGGAATCTTATTATAAAGGATGAATGATTAGCTTTACCACGTGGGCATTTCTTTCATCACTTTTTACCTTGTCTTTAAACTGAGAGGTACATAAGTAACTTGACATCACGTCATGGCACTTTTTACTTTGTCTTTAAACTGAGAGGTATGTAAGTAACTTGTCATCACGTCATGGTACCTTTTATTTTGGCAGAAACTCGGGTTGCCAGAATATGGGTCGCATCCGACTTATGAGCCCATGTAATGGTTGGCTGGTCCACGAAGTCGCGGCCTTGTTTTAAGCGGCAAAGCCTGACAAAAAATTCTTCGTCCAGGCAATCACGCCACTGCTTACACAACCTAGCCCGACCATTTCACAAAAAATAATAATTAAAAAAAAATTGTAAATGTGTCGATTCTAATGGTCCCTCACACAAATCCAGTCCTTCTCTTCGTGCACATGGGAGAGACGACAGGTAGTTTTCACATGTCAATTCAATAACACTGTGAGATAATAAGAAACAAGACACTGGATATATCCACTGGATTTTTAGTAGATAATGATATTTTGTCCCGTCAAGATTTATTAATAGAATAAAAAGATTTATTCAAATGTTTTCGAAAAAGTTTGTATGTTAACTTAAAATTATTATAATAATATATCCTGAAATATTGGCTGACATGATAAGTTTTTAAAATTGTCATATTATATTCAAATCAAGAGTAGGTTATGTGGACTTTTTTAATGTAAATAAAAAAACTTTTAATTAGGAATAACCTATTTAAAATCTGATCATAAAATAATTTAGCGGTGATAATAAAAAATATTTCTATATATAAAATTAGATTTATAATTTACCATCCACTTCAAACGCTAACAGAATGCAACATTGCACCTTATATATGAACTTTCATCGCATAAGCATTCTAGAGGAAAATAAGTAAAAATAAAGATTCTTTAGTAATATTTTGGGCATGAAAACAAATAAAGAGTAGAATTTATTGGTTTAAGAGACATGAAAACACTAATAATTTACATTTTAAATTAAATTTAATAAAAAAAACTTATTAGAAAAGCTCTTTCACTTAATATACTATATAGTAAAAACTCACACTTAGAAATAAGGAGGAAATGTTTTTTTCAAAATAAAATAAACATCTTTTTTATTCTTTATTTATTTATAAATTATATCAACAATCCTCTACTACCTTGTAATTAATATGTTTTTACTTGATAAAATTATATTTATAAAAAAATATTTGGCAACTGAAACCATTAAAACCAAGAAAAAGTTGTACTATTTTGGAGGGATTCGCTAGCAAAGATGAGGACTAATAAATTAAAAAAAAAAATTGGGTAATTCAAACTCTTCGGTGTGGTGGTTGGTGTTGCTAGTTCATCACCCAATTTAACTTCTTCAGTGAGAGGTTTAGATCTTAGAATTGTATAATTGAGGGTGTAGTTGTAGTTATTTTTTAAAGTATTTTTTATGTTAAAATATATTAAAATAATATTTTTTATTTTTAAAAAATTATTTTTAAAATTAACACATTAAAATGATTTAAATATATATAAAAAATTAAATTTTAATAAAAAAATTAAAATTTTTAAAAAATATAATTTACACCTTATTTCTAAATAATATCTAAAATGGACTGGTTGCTTCAAGGCCTACACTAACCAAGTAAGCATCTTTACTTATCACTATCACTACTTAAGTAACCCAGTTATGGATGCTTTGAATCGAAGCAAAATTAATTATTGTAATTGATGGGTTACAGACTAAACTCACTTCACTCATAGAAGCAATTAATAGCTTTGCTTAGCCAACAGTTCATTGACTAATTGAAATTGTCACGGCAACTTTTATGACTATTTACATACGTTAATCCATGTCCATATATGACGTCTAAATTATTTTAAGTTTCCATTTAACATATGTTTTAATAATCTGTATGCCTAAATTGTCCTTTACAATGGCTCAAATGATCAGCCATTCACCAAAACCCTCGGAGACCATCATATTTGCCCTTTACAACTGGTCTCTGTTTCTTCTGCAGAGATTACAAACAAGACCAGCCATGATTTTTGCTGGATAAAACGAAGAAGAAGAACATCAACAACAGCCATTGTGAAAACATCACCAATAAAAAGTGAACAAATACCTGAATTACAATGTAAAAGAGGATAAGAATCAAAACAATTCAGAAAGTGATAAAACACCATTGCTTCAATCCCAACAATGACAAGTATGAGCCTTCCTTCGATTCCAACACGCTAGCTTCCCATCAATGTCGTGAAATAGTAAAATTGGTGGTGTTGGTGGCGGGTGAAGGAGATAGAGGGGGGTATGAGTGGTGACCGGATGGAAGAGAAATTGAATGTTTAAGGTTATTATTTATATAGGGTGTTTTCGTCTTTTAATAATTCTATCAACATAAATTAAGAAAAAAAAATCTAGTTGCTGTGGTAGGAGGGTAATTATGACTATTTATTTGATTATATAATTTTAATAAGTGATGGTGAGACAGCGAGGAATGGAAG